ACAAAATAAATACATACAAATACATATGCAGAAGTTCACATACCTTATGCATATCTGTAATCAATGTGAGACCTTCACCATCTCCAAGTCCTAGGTCATCCTTTAAGCACTTGAGATATAATCATTTCTAAACATATCTGAATAGTCAACACAATAAAATAAACAACACAACACCATTTCTAAACATATCTGAACACAACATCACCATTCATTCTTACTTCAACATCACTATTCAATACCAGAATAAAGTCAGTAAGTCACGTTCATAAAGCCTCACACAATACATAATTTACCAACAAATAATATTAAAAATAGTAGGCCCTTAATGAAATTATTTGCATATCTACTGGACTAACTTAAAAATTACTTAAATACATCAACATCACCACAATTTTCATGGCATCTTTGACTGTGAAGAAATGCTATTTTGACTTGGATTGTTTGAAATCCTTTCAATCGTCTTCTTTCTTTGCTTCTCTCTAATCTCTTGAAGTTTTCTTGTTGAGATTGCTGCTTTGTCATTTCATTTCAGCTTACTAGTAGTACTTGGTGTATAATCAATGTCACTAGTTACATCAGATGATCTTGTCACTTTTGCTTGACCAGTAGAGTAGATCTTACTACTTGGTATGTCAGGCTACAATAAAATTATGAATATAATTAAATGTTTAAATTGTCTAAATTAACAAAATAGTTTAAGATATAGCAAAGACTCGCATTTATAACTTTGAAGCTATTTGCAGCTTGGAACACACCCATACTCAGGACTCTTGGCCTTTTATCAGGAGATGTGTTTTCCCTACCCCTTCCTTTTTTTGTAGTACCATCTACTAAAGATGATGCATGATAATTAGGAGGAAAAGAAGAGAATGCAAGAAGATCAATAGGTACAGTAGAGGAGATGCAATAGGTGTCATTGATGATGTTTTTTTCGTCTTTCTCTTCATTTAAAAAAGCCCAAATATTACATTTAGTTTGCCTCTTTCGTTGAGTGAATATGTTGGTTCTACCCTTACAGATGCACTAGGTGTTGTGTTGGTGCACTAAGTGTTTGTAATGGTGTACTATGTGTCGTTGATGGTGCACTATATCATGTTAATGACTCAACATCTTCTCTTTGAGGATACTCTCTCTTGTTATGGCCTCGACATGGCATATACTACATATTATTGCAAGTCCAGTCCTAGGCAGCTTTCCAGATTTCTTAGTTTCTCCGACTACTTTTCTTTTAGCCTTAGATGGCCTACCAGTCATGTTTGTGATTTCTGGTGGTGAAACAATAGGGTTTGTAGAAACTGGTCATATCTCCATATTTGTGAGTTGTTTAAGAACATTGTCATAAGTCCTCAAGTAAGTTTTCTTATTGTAGCAGTTGTCTATATAGTCATAAAGAGAAAAATTCTTAAAGCATAATGTAGCCACAACATGTGGACATGATATGCCCCTTAACGGCCACACCCTATAACTACAAGTCCTCCCGGCAATATCTACTTTGTATTGACAAAGCCCTTATTTCACTTCAATTCTAGCAACTCCATTAAACTTAATGGTACAGTCCATATACCTACTAATGTTCTCCTCTAGGACCTTCAAATCCATTGGTGAGAAATTACATTTTCAAGTACTTGGGAACTCCCTTAATTGGCTATTTTTGTCATCATCTGCACTCTTATTTTTTTCAAGCATAGTAATGATGGTCTTGTGTCCAGCAGCCAAGATCTATGTATTAAAATACTCAAACACGTTGTTGTCTACAGAATCACACTTCACTTCAGTGTTGAAGTAAATTTTGCACCAGTAATTAATGTTGTAGTACATTAAGTCACCCATCATTTTTTCTGAACCTAACAACTTCGTCTTCTTTATATTTTTTCTTAATTGAGACTCAAACGTACTCTTGGCTGTCTTCCAAAATTATTTTCTTCTTTGAAGACCCCTTCAATCCATATCCTAGTTACCTAACATGTGCCTAACACATTTTCTATGTTCACAATAAGGTAATACCTCTTCAATTTCTGCAGATGATAATTAGGTCATAATTACATATAGAAAGTGAAAATCACAAAATAAATACATACAAATACATATGCAAAAGTTCACATACCTTATGCATATCTGTAATCAAGGTGAGACCTTCACCATCTCAAGTCCTAGGTCATCCTTTATGCACTTGACAAACATGGTCCGTGAGTTTCTGTTCTCCTTTTCAAATACTACCCAAGCAAGTAGCAATATCTGATTGTTACAATTATTGGCCACATCAACTAACAACTGACTTTTACAAATAACTTTTGAGAAAACAATCATCTAAGCCTATGCACTTCCTAGGACGTACCCATGCCCTCCTTAAAGTATCAAAACATATGTAAAAACTCTAAAATACTGATTTGCCAAGTGCATCAGGTTCACCAAGTTTTACAACATTACTAGTCCCTAGATTGGTCCTCAACATTTTATCCTTGTAGTCAAGAATGCTTCCAAATTTCACAATATGATCATCCATTATATCTTTCAACACTTGAGCTCTTGCTATTCTCACAATAGTCTTGCCAACATAAAGTTTAATTTCTTAATCATCTCCTGCAACTTGAACACTTTTATGTTAGGTTGCTCAGTTATCTTTCTCTATAGGCTTCAGATAAAAACTTTGCATTGCACAAGTAATTTTTGGTTGTCTTGTTGCAAGTATGCTTTGACTTGTAAGTTTTTATCATGAAATTATTTGTTTTTTTTGTCAAGATATGCATACAAAAGTCATGGACAGTCATCCTTGCATCGAACTCTAACTTTCTTTGGCTCATTCACCCACTTCTCCACCTGAACCCTCTTTCTTACCGCATCTAACTCTAACTCTAATTTAGCCATTAGTCTCTTTTCATTTATTTAAAATGTCTTTTCAGTAGTCCATAATTAAATTCAATAAATAAGATATGATTAGAATTTTTTATTCAAAATTAGAGAATAAGCCAAAAAAGGAGAAAAAAGATAAATGCGAATGGTGGTCATAGAAAGGTGTTACATTACCGTGCCTACATCTAGCTTTATTATATATATAGATTGAACGTTGATATTTCAATGATTTTTGTACTTATATGAATTTTATAGTCTTTTTGAAGATTCCTATTCAATTAATGTTTTCAAGTTTTAGCCTATCACAAAGATAAATAAAATATATGTATTCTCTTTAACTTGAAAGAACCAATCAAAATAAAAATCGAAAAATTTAACTTTATATTGATTTATAATTTTAATAAATCGACATAATTATTTTAAGTTATTTTTTAATGCAAAAAAACAAACCAAACCAATTCTACCGATGTAGACCTTTACTTTCCATCCCTTTGATTATTCCCAAATTGTTTTTCACTATTGTCATTTTGATTATTCCCAAAAAAAATTCAGTATTGTCCTTTTGATTATTCCCAAATTATTTTTCATTATTGTCCTTTTGATTATTCTCAAATTATTTTTAATTATTTTCTGTTTGATTATCCCCAAATTATTCTCCTAAAAATTGTAAAGTAGTCAAAAATATATTTTTTTAAGAGAATAAATATATCAAAAAATCCAATAATTTTCTTAAATTTTTAAAAATTATTTATTTTAAACTATAAAATAAATTTTCAATAATTCATGACATATGTAGTTCTTTTGTTTATTTTGATTTGTGTATTATTTTTCAAATGAGTTTTTTATTTTTATTGTTATTTTTTAATATAACAAGAGAAAACAATATTTTTTTTCAATTTTTACCCTTGATATCAACTACTTATTCTTCATTCTTCAAATTATTTTTTTCAAGATTTTATACTAAAAAATACTCATATCATTTATGAAAACTTTATCTAAAACTCTGTTACTTCACTTAATCTCCATTGCAGCAACATCAATTGATTAACAGAAAGTAAAATTGAAGAAGAAAGTTTATTGAGGGGAAGAAGAAGAAAGCTCGATTAGGAGAGCAGTTATACAATACAACTTATGAATCTACAATGAATGAAAATATCTAGCTAATATGTGTATTTATACTGACTTGTTGTAACTAACTCTGACAGCTCATTAACTAATCATCAACTAAATATCTAACTGACTACTCTGCTAAGTTTGAATTAAGGGACATCAATACAGTGTGATAATTCTTTAACACCCCAACATGTAAAAAATTTAAAGCGAAGTAAGTAAAAACAAAGAGAGGGGTATTTCTTATGCAGAAAACTAAACAAGTAGGATTTTCGAAAGAAACTGCATTGTAGAATTTGAATTTAAGTGCAAGTATTTGTACACAAAGTTATTGGGGAACCTATTACAACATCATTGTGAGTAAAGGAAGCACTATTAGAGAGAAATGTGTTGTTCATGGGCTAACACAATCGGTGAAAATTTTTTAACCCCCCCCCCCCCCCCCCGCAAGCTAGGGGCTACAAACAAGTTTAGCATCCCTAGCTTGGACACCAAGTATGAATGCTGAAAATTGGTAAGGCCTTTAGTCAAAATATTTGCCTACTGCTCAGTGGTAGACAAATAGACAGTCTCAATGAGACCTTGTAAGATCTTCTCATGAATGAAATGACAATCGATGTCAATATGTTTTGTACGTTCATGAAATACAGGGTTAGCTGCAATCTGTATGGCTGACTTGCTATCACAATGGACAAAGACAGGAAGTGTTAGAGTGATCCCCAGTTCTGTAAACAAACCAACAACCCAAACAATCTCAGCCACTGTGGAAGCTATGCTTCTATACTCTGCTTCTGCAGAGCTCCTGGATATGGTAGGCTGTTTCTTTGCTTTCCAAGAGATTAGAGAGTCATCAAACTTCACCAAATAACCAGTAACTGATCTCCTGGTAGTAGGGCATGGTGCCCAATCAGCATCACAAAACGCTTGCAACTTTGGAGATGTTGTGGTTGAAAGAAAAATCCCAAAACCAGGGGACTGTTTAATATATCTTACCACTCTTATAGCTGCTTGCATATGGGATTGCTTTGGTTGATGCATAAACTGACTCAAATTTTGCACTGCAAATGAAATATCTGGTCGTGTAACTGTCAAATATAACAGTCTTCCAACTAACCTCTGGTATACACCTGGAACGTTAAGAGGCACATCAGTATTTGATCCAATATGCTCATCAAATTCTACTGAGGTAAGTTTGTGATTCAGTTCAACAGGATATCCACAGGGTTGTGAACCAGACAAGCCTAAGTCTGAAATGAGTTCTAATGAGTGTTTTCTCTGATGCATCACAATACCCTCTTTGTTTCTGGCAAATTCAATTCCAAGAAAAATTCTAAGTTCCCTTAAATCCTTTATTCTGAATCTGGATTGAAGCATCAACTTTGTTTCTTGAATCAATTGAATATCAGTCCGTGTGATAAGTAATTCATCTACATACACTAACACAATCACCATACTGTTCCCAGCCTTTTTAGTAAATAGGGAATAGTCTAGCTTTGAGCAAAACCAAACTCCACAAGAGCAGATGACAGTTTAATGTTCCATTGTCTATAAGCCTGCTTAAGTCCATAGAGTGACTTAAGTAGCTTACACACTTTGGTTGAATTCTCATGCCTGTCAAAACCTTGGGGAAGTGTCATGTACACTTCTCATGACACTTCTTCATTGAGATCACCTTGTAAGAAAGCATTGTACACATCCATTTGATGTATTATCCAGCCTTTTGCAACAGCTAAGGCTATGACAGACCTTACTGTAACCATCTTCACCACAGGTGAAAATGTTTCTTGATAATCTAACATTTCCTTTTGGTTATAACCTTTAGCAACAAGCCTAGCCTTAAATCTCTCCACTTCTCCAGAGGCTTGATACTTGATCTTATAGACCCACCTGCAACCTATAGCTCTCTTCCCAAGAGGCAAAGTCACCACAGTCAATGTCTTATTATCCTCCAAAGCTTTAATTTCTAACTCCATTGCTTTCAACCACTTGGGATGTTTAGCAGCTTCATGATATGTCTGAGGCTCAACTTGAACTGAGAACTGGATAAGATAACTTTGATACCTCTTAGAGAGTTGTTCATAACTGATGACATCTGATAGAGGATACAAATAAGAATTAGCAGCATTTTTAGGTTTCAAAGGTTGGACAAAGTCTTTGAGCCATAGAGGTGGCTTTGCTGATCTTCCAGATCTTCTTGATGGTTCTGCAGGACATGGTAGAGAAGAAATATTATCGTCAGGTGCAGGTCTTTTCTGAATAGTAAGTGGTGATGTGTGAGAACATTCAACTGTCTCAGAAACACAACCAGTTGAGACAGGTGCTTCTACTGCAACAATCTCAGGTCTTTCCTCTTGATCAGATGTTAGTTCTTTCTGCAATACAAACATGTCAACAAAAGGAGGAATAAACTCCTTGGTAGGAACAGGTGACCGAAAAGGAAAGATCATTTCATGGAAAACTACATCTCTGCTAACTATGATTCTTCTCTCTTGAGGATCATACAATTTGTATCCTTTTTGTGTTACTGCATATCCAAGTAGTATTATTTTCAAGGCTCTAGGTGAAAACTTATCTCCTTTAGGCAACACTGTGACATAGCATAGACACCATATCACTCTCAAATAATCCAATGGAAGCTTCTTCCCATACAACATTTCATATAGAGATTTCTGATTCAACACAACAGAAGGAACTCTATTAATGATATGTACAGCAGTCTCAACACAGTGTCCCCAAAATCTGATTGGCAAATGACCTTGAAATCTAATTGCTCTGGTTGTCTCTAAAATGTGTCTATGTCTCCTCTCTAAAACACCATTTTGTTGTGGTGTATAAGGGCAGGAACTTTGATGTACAATCCCAAAATTCTTAAACAGTGTATCACAATTATGATTAAAGAACTCAGATCCATTGTCTGATCTCACATTCTTAATCTTCTTTTCAAACTGAGTTGATACCATCACAATAAAATCTTTTAATATAGTAATGACATCAGATTTCAAATGCATGAAGTAAATCTAAGTCCACCTTGTATGATCATCAACCAAAGTAAGAAAAAATATCATTCCATCATATGTAGGTACCTTATAAGGCCCCCAAACATCCATATGCAACAAGTCAAAAAAACATGCTGCTCTACTTGTACTAACTGGAAATGGTAGTCTTATCTGCCTAGCCATAGGGCAAATATTACAATGACTTAAAGTTGAATCACAACTAATACTAATACTTATTATTTTCTTCAAAACATTCAAAGGCACATGCCCCATCCTTTGATGCCAAAGTTCAATGTCAGGAATTTCTCTTACTGTCATAGACTGCGTGACTCCTCCTGTACCACCTCCTCTATGTGAATCAAGTACATACAATCCATCTTCCTCTCTACCAATCTCCCTCACCTTTCCAGTGAGGAGATCCTGAAACATACAAAATTCAGGAAAAAAGAGTGCACAACAGTTTAGTTCTCTAGTTATTTTGGAAACTGACAATAGATTGAACTTAAACTCTGGAGCACATAACACATTCTTAATTAAAGCACCTCCTGATAGCTGATAATCCCCTACTTGTGACACTGCAGCTGAATCACCATTGGAAAGCTGAACTGTCCCAGTATTTCCTACTGATGAACCATGTTTCAACAAATTGTGATTACCAATCATATGATTAGTAGCCCATGTATCTACAATCCATTTAGGTTTATCTAATGTTATGTGTAAGACAAGAGCATTACCTGCCAGATTAGCATTAGGTTCACTTACAGTGGTCTTGTTAATCATTTCAATGAGCTGGTTGTATTGTTCAGGAATAAACAATGATTGTTGTGGTGGTTGAATTCCTATGTTATTCTAATGCAAAGAAGCCTGATAATGTTGGTGTGAATGTTTACCATGAGGAGCAGGTGGAAGTTGATCCATTCCCCCTGGTACCATCATAGCTTTCTTCTTTCCTTTGAAATCTGCAGGGTATCCTATCAATTTGTAACATTTCTCTTTGATGTGTCCTTTCATATTGCAGTAATCACATGTCAACAGCTTGAAACATTGTTCTCTAGAATGGCCATTCATGTTGCAAAAGTCATAGAACACTGCACTATATCCTCTTTTATGTCCTTGAGGTAGCCTATGTCCACCTCCACCTCCTCCCTGAGTGAATAAGGTTGTGGGTTCTATAACATCACCTCCACCATGACTACCACTTGCAATGTGTTTCTGACTTTCATCTTGTATAATCATAGCATATACTTGATTAAGTGTTGGTATGGGAATCATTATCAAAATTTGACTCCTAGGCTGACTATATCCATCATTCAATCCCATCAAAAATTGTAATAACCTCTGTTTCTCCTGTTGGCTTACATATGTCTTCGATTTATCAGAGTCACAAAAAGGAAGACCAACAATGGAATCGTATTCATCCCACAGATCTTTCAATTTAGAGAAATAGGCAGAAACAGACATTACTCCCTGTGTCAAAGTAACTATCTCCTTATGTAGTTGAAAAATCTTGACATACTAATTTCGTGAAATTTCTCTTTCAAATCCTTCCAAATCAAACATGCATCAGATTTGAACAAAATTCCATTCAGTAAGAATTTGCTAACATTACCAGTTATCCATGATATGACCAAGGCATTGCATCTCTCCCACTGCATGTCCAGATCTGCCTTAAAATTTTCCTTCACGAAACTGCCATTGATAAATCCGAGCTTATTACGAGTCAATAAGGCTAATCGCATAGCTCTGCTCCACAATGAATAATTCTCTGTGCCTACAAGTTGAATTCTGATTTGTACTGTTCCTGGTACATCTCCAGATGACAAATGAAGCGGATGATTATGATATGTGATCTTCATCCCTGAGGATGGTGATTTTGAAACCACAACTTCAGCTGCTGTGGTCACCATTGATAAACGTAAAGCTAGATTTCTTGATCTTTTTCAATATGCGAGAAAATCCCTAAATCCAGTCAATTACTAGAAACCTCTTACTCTGATACCATGAAAACTTTATCTAAAACTCTATTACTTCACTTAATCTCCATTGCAGCAACATCAATTGATTAACAAAAAGTAAAATTGAAGAAGAAAGTTTTATTGAGGGGGAAGAAGAAGAAAGCTCGATTAGGAGAGCAGTTATACAATACAACTAATGAATCTACAATGAATGAAAATATATAGCTAATGTGTGTATTTGTACTGACTTGTTGTAACTAACTCTGACAGCTCATTAACTAATCATCAACTAAATATCTAACTGACTACTCTGCTAAGTTTGAATTAAGGGACATCAATACAGTGTGATAATTCTTTAACACCCCAACATGTAAAAAATTTAAAGCGAAGTAAGTAAAAACAAAGAGAGGGGTATTTCTTATGCAGAAAACTAAACAAGTAGGATTTTCGAAAGAAACTGCATTGTAGAATTTGAATTTAAGTGCAAGTATTTGTACACAAAGTTATTGGGGAACCTATTACAACATCATTGTGAGTAAAGGAAGCACTATTAGAGAGAAATGTGTTGTTCATGAGCTAACACAATCGACAATCATTGAGACGGAAGCTTCAGAGTAACTTATTGAATTTACCCAATAAAGAGACACAATTTGCATAATTTTGACGAATCAATTCACTGCTTCCTTTTCTTGTTTCAATTGGTACTTCAGCTTCATCCTTACCTTTCTTGTTTCGAACCTCATTAGTCCACATATCTACTAGTCCAGACATTCTTCTTCTTCTTAATTTCTTAATTTTCAAATATCTATCAACTTTTTTTTTGTATATGCTTGAGAATATAGTTATTGTGATTTGAAGTATACAAATATCTATTTATATGCTTGAGAATGGTGCAATAAACAGGATAAGGATAATAAGTATGTTGTTTTGTATGGCGCCCACATATTTAATTTCCATGTGCAGCATTATGGTTTGTAGCTGGTGGATTTATGTGCTTTTATATTAAGGAATTTCGATAGACATAGTCGTAGGTCCAATTATATATTGAGTTTTGATTTAATTTGAAGTTTAAAAAATATATATAAAATAATATTTTAATTTCAAAATTTTAAACATATCAAGTTATCAAAAAATGGAATAAGGAAATAAGGTAAGATAATAAGAGTATTTATATACTCTTTTACTTACTCTTCGAATCCATGTTCCATCCAAGGATATTTTGAATTAAATCGAAAATACATCAAATAATATGGTCGTATGATTTTTAAAAAGAGATTTAATTTAACGTTGGGCATCGGACCAGATTGTATTACTGATACCGTTCATGTTCGTTCCGATCCATTCCAGTTCTATTCCAGTATAAAGTGTCTAAGTGAAGTAAGTAAAAACAAAGAGAGGGGAGGGGTATTTCTTATGCAGAAAACTAAACAAGTAGTATTTTCGAAAGAAACAGCATTATTGTAGAATTTGAATTTAAGTGCAAGTATTTGTACACAAAGTT